CTTTTGATAATGAATGTTACATTTCTAGCATTTGACCTTTTTGTTATGTTTGTTTATCAACTAGAACGTAATCAAATGTGTTCACTACATTCGTTCTTTATGAAAAGAAGGTTTCCTAATATCGTACGAAACGAGATGATAAAGTTATGGAATAAGATGAGTCAAAATAACCTAGGTATCAGTATTATACTTTTAAAAAAATCTAAGTAATTTAAATTCAAACGGAAACAATTGAACAATACAAAATTCATATGGGGTTTATCGAAGATGTTTTACATCAACTTGTTTCTCTCTTCTATAACACGCATGGTTAAAGTGATAAATTCGATCATAAAAACATTCAATGTAATTTTATTGTTTTTAACAAACCGAAACTTAATAAGTGTCCATAATTCAATGAATAATGTAGTTAGAAAACAAAATCGCAAATTTGTATAGACCAAATGCTTCCGAATTGATTCATTATTTGCATAGAATTAAACATGCACCGCCAGTAGTTATATATTATACCATAAAACAATATAAAAAAGATACCAGGATAAAAATTATGCATGCCAAAGGCGCCTTTCGTCTACCAAAGAGGCGGAAGATACCAAAGAGACAGTCAAACTCAAAGGTAGAAAATAAACTGACAACGCCATGGCTAAAACCTAAACTGAAAAAAAGACATCAAACAGCATACAAAACACACAAAACCGAAAGTGATTTTATGTACTGTTTGTTGATGATTAACCTACATGGAAAGCGTTCAAACCAGAAATGATGAAAGCCAAGGATTTATGATAACCTAAAACAGTTGAAGTATGTGACCATAGAAAACCTGTAGTTCAGTAGTTGTCGTTGGTTCATGTCTGTTATATTTGTTTTTCGTAAATCGTTTTGTTATAAATTAACAGTTTTTTTTTCTTAATTACATTGCTTCATATTGTTCATGTCGGCCTCTTTTATAGCCGACCATACGGTATAGGGTTTTCTCATTGTTGAAGGCTGTACCGTTGTCTATAATTTCTTACATTCACTTCATTTGAACTTCGGTGGATAGCTGTCCCATTGGCAATCATACCACATCTCCTTATTTTTATATAAACAAAACCGGTTAAATCAACCTAAGGTTAACTTTAATTGTATGTGTTGAAACCTAAGTTGTTTAATGATTTCTATAAATCTATTAAGCGAAACTTTCAAATCATACAAATATCACACTTTAATATTTGGCATGATTAATGACAATACTAGTTCAATAATCTGAAATAGCAAGCTGTCATCTTAACATGTTCACTTTATTACTTATTCAATTAATTTCATTGTCGTTTCTATAATTCATTGCTTAATGTTATGCTGTATTCCATGAAAATTTATTTGAATTTTTGAGCATGTAAGTGTCAAGGAGCAAACAAATAAGTATAGCGTACAATCATTTATGCAATTCATAATATAACGATATTTCTACAATGGTGGAAGTAGAGTAGTAAATTAAACAATAAACATACCATAAAAATGATTTGTGATAGACGCGCGTTCCGTCTACAAAAGAGGCAGAAATACCAAACAGACATTCAAACTACTTTGTCGAACATAAACTGACAACGTCATAGCATGAACCTAAACAGACAACACGACAAACAACAGTATACAAAAAAACAAAAAAACCGGGATTGGTTTCATGTGCTGTTTTCTACATTTACCTTAACGGGAAACGCACAACGCAGAAATGTTTAAATCAAAGGACGTATAATAATCAACAGAGTTCAAGTAAATGACCATAGAGAACATACACAAAAATAATTATATCAACTTAACGTCAACATTACTTAAGGAGGTTAAAACCTAAGTTTCTTGATAATTTATAAATTTATAAAGCGACACTTTGAAATCATACAAATATAACATTTCAATATTTGGCATGACTAATGACTAGTATTGAATAATCTGACAGACCAAGCTGTTATCTCGAATTGTTCTACTATCACGTTACTACAAATTCAATTAATTCCATTTTCGATGTAATAATTCATTGCTCAATGGTATGTTGTATTCTATGAATATTTATTTGAATTTTCCAGCCGGTAAGTGTCAAGTAGCAAACAGATAAGTATAGCGTACAATTATATATGCAATTTATAATATAACGATATTTATATAATGGTGAACGTAGTGTAGTAAAGTAAAACAATAAACATACCATTTTAAGAGAGAAATAGTCGAAAAAGTATTTGAAAATGGGTTGGTAATACAATATTATCTGCTTTTCTTTAAAATAACCCTTTTGGAAAGATCATAAGAAATTGTATTTTTAAATTATTGTTGTCATGTATTGAAATATGAGAATACATTATGAAATAATATGACTTGATTATGACAGGTGATTAATAGTTTATAAAGCTTGAATCATGTGATTATTTATGCAGCCACTGGATATGCTAATTACGTGAAAATATCCAAATTGGTATGTCCTTATATTTGTATTAGGGAGATAGTAGTTAACCGGTGTCCAAATTGTGACTATATGTTTAGTCTTGTTTATTCTTTTTGATTATACCTATCATTTAATGTTTTCAAAAAATAGAATGTTGTGCTACATACCATGTTTATACTCCTGATTATGCAGTAACTTCTCATCAATAGGCGATCAGCAAAAAAACATCACATTATCAATATGCTAGTATTTTCATAATATACATTTCAATTTTTTGTTCTACTATGATTGCTATATAATTTACTACTGGACACCATAGATACAAAACACCTATTGACAAATTTGATGCTATCGTGATTTTTTATAAACTCTAAAAGAGAAGATAATGACTTTACAACTATTTTTGGGATATAGATATTCGTGTTCACCACTCGGTTTGTCATTTTTTATATCTATACTTCTTTTGAATAGCTACCACATTCAAGAAAACACAATTTCTAGTTAAAAAAACTAAAACACTCAAAAAAAATATGCTGAACATATTCAGTAATATTTATAAACTGGTGTTTTTGAGATGAGTATTTGCTGTATCGTGATTGTCTTAAATTATTCCTCGTATTTTAAAATTGTATTTTTATTTATATTTTTCAGTGTACCGTAAGTGTTTTGTACCATAAAGATAAGTATATTGTGATCATTTAACAAAAAATGAAAAATGAAAGGACAATAGATAGTGCATGTTGTATATGGTGTTTTCATTGAAGTTGAAAAATATAACATAAGTTCTCATCAATAAAGACGCAATTTAGAAGTAACAAAACCCATTCGTATATTAGAAGCAATGCGATGTTTTGAGCAGTATGACTTTAAATGAAATGCTAAGTAGTCTAAATTCAAACGTGAACAAATAGACAATACAACACCTTGTTTTTTTCTCTAGTATTATAACAAAAAATATTTCAAGTATTAAATACTTTCGTGAATATGTTCAATGTAATATTTGTTATTTTTACAAATATAAATGTTATAAATGTCTTTAACCCAACAAATAATATATTGAAACAAAAAGATTGATAACTTTATGTAGATAAAATGCTTCCAAATTGATTTAAACGGTGTGTAGGTAAATCATTACGACTAAATAACCTGACAAATATACTGCCAGTAGTAACGGAGTATTTCATAAAACAGTATAGAAACTTATCAAAGAGATCAGTTTGATAATGTTATACATGTATCTGTAAACGGCCAATGTTTGAAAGTTTTATAACCTTTGATATGCACAGTTTACTAATTATCACTCACATATGGAAGTTTTATATTTTTTAATTGATAAAAGAACAAACATGTTTTTCCGTCAAATTTAGTTGCACCTGTTATTTGTTATGACAGTAAGATAAAACAGGCAATAGAAGACTGGAGTTCAACCAGTGCTTCAGAAAAAATTATATGTTTGTTATTTTAAAATATTACAAACACAAAATTTAAATTTTTGACATAGTTACTGATTATAACATTCAACAAAAAGCTGTCAGTTCTAATATCGTTTTACTACTTATACTGCGGTGGCTTCTATAACACTTATACTACGGTGGCTCCTATAACTCATTGCTAGATGGTATGCTGTATTGTATAATCATTTACTTGATTTTATTTTTTTTTTGCAGTCGTAAGTAAGTGAATTCATTCAGGGTTGCAACAAGCGGAATGGTATAATTGCGTAACGATATTCCTAGTTCTCCAAATATCGTATATGTTTAGTATGTCCGTATTTCTGTTATATATCTATATGTCTAAGCAACGTATTATATACAGATATGTACATATTATGCTGTAAACCAGAGTTCCTGGTTATTTGATTAATCGTCGCAATTGAAAGTTGTTTCCGATTAATAATAAATGTATGACATCTGTTTTTAAAACATAGTTCTAGAATTACAAAAACAAAACAAAACAAAAACATGTGTTGTCCTTTGTGTTATTTAATATATATATATCATACCATTACTATTTCAAATATATGCATTGTTTAACTTTAGTCGGTAACTGTCAAGTACCAAATCGAAAACTTAAAACTTTGAGCATTTGTTGTCATAGGAATCATATGACAAATGGCAGTATTCTTATAAAAGTGGAAACAGGTGATAGTTGCAATGTTTGAAAATTGTTATCAAGATACATTAAAAACACTGTTACTTTGCTTATAAAAAAATCAAATAAACTTGAATATTTTAATTTGATAAATTATGTGTTCAGTCATTAATCTATTAGCGAATAGTATAAACATTACAACATGTGGTAGAATTGACAATGAGACAGCTACCCAATATAGAGAAGATTATGTTGATGGTAGTTACAATAAGTCACATTACGGGAAATATAGAGTAAATTATGTTGATGGTTGTTACAATAAGTTACATTACGGGAAATATAGAGTAAATTATGTTGATGGTAGTTGCAATAAGTCACATTACCGGCTTTTCCAATAGTGAGAAATACAAATACCGTCTATTAAGTAAGCTAAAAAATATTCCCAAAATGACAATATGTGAACCATTTCAAACTATAGAACTTACATTGTTAGGTCCGATAGGTAAATAAATTTTGACAAAAGTCCGACGATGATATAATATGTTCTCATTGTAGCTGTACCTGTGGAGAGTAAGTATTGAAGATAAAGCTTACGATTTATATTTTTCTTCGATGGCTCGGATGTACATTATATGCATTAGTCATCAAAAGAAGTACATATAATGATAATACAATATTGTATCACTGACAGCTTTACACGTTGTATAACATGTTTATTTTCAATTAATGTGTTTCATACTTAAAATTTACATGAAAAAGTACAATACATCTATTTACTAACTGATCGATAAGGATATGCACAAAATGGCATTTTTCTGCGGCAGTATCTTTTAAACTTGTTTTTGTAGAGAGATAACGTAACTTACGTTTGCAAGTTTCTTCTTATGAAGAACACTTTTTATTTAGTTAAGTGGTATGGTCGTTTCTGACATAAATCGGTTCCATTTGAAAATATTGGTACTCTTACAGACCGGATACATACTCATCATATACAGATAATTTCAATAAATAAAGTGACTATATATATTTATCAAAATACAGAGCTAGTATGTACTGTTTGTTAATAGAGAATCAATAGAACACTTTTACAAAGGGGAGATGCAGTTCTTGTTGAAATGTTAACACGACTTGTATGACTGTTGTTCCTTAAACTGAACGTAAACAACATCAATTTACATTATCTATTGCGTCAAATCGTGCCTAAACACAAGTTCAAACAAATGAACCAATAACAGTCCTTAAGGAGTTGTTCAGTGTATTATAAAATTGAGAATGGAAATGGGGAATTTGTCAAAGAGACAACAACCCGACCAAAGAGCAGAAAACAGCCCAAGGCCACCAACACAGCGATAAACTAGTTTGATATCTAAAAACTAAAAATATGGAAGTCAATGTTGTGGACAACAAAACTGCAAACATTTAAGCAAACCTCCACTTACATCGTTGACGAACTAAGTGTTAATTTTCAATGCGTTTTAAGAAGGATAAACAAGTTGCATCCAGGGAGCAGATAGCACAAATTTATAGCATCACTTGTAAACATGTATGATGTATAATTAGACGTTAAACAAAAACAATCATTGTATTTATTTCTTCAGATGGATGAAACTGATAAGACAATAGTGACAGCCAGTAATAAACATTGGCGAAACACAGAAATGATTGCAAATACTTCCTTCCGATGCAAAAACAATATTGAACAATCTGAATATACTGTTTCCTTGTTGTATTTGCATGCACGTTTTATGTTTAAAACATATATGATTCTGATACATCAAAATAGAAACTTTACAATTGTTTCCCTAAAATCTATTTTAACCACAAAATAATTATGTCGTACGTGTTGCATCACACGAATCATTCATACTTTGATATTTTCTTATGTCAGATAATTATTTAATGCTCTCTCGTGACTGAGTATTATATCAAATTCATAATAATTAGCTACACTTCTTACCAATCAAGTATTATATAACTACAATTTGTATCCTAGTGTCCGTTACTCATTCGAATTTATTTCACTTTTCTATTTATACTACAAAGAACGTTATTATAGAACTTAACGTATTGAAAAGCATTATAAACTGTCTGAATAGTCTTTAAGCAATTGATTCGAAACAAATCAAAACTGTAGACTTTTTCTAGTATTTCAAGTTATTGTTCAAATTGTTCACACTATGTCTATAACCCTACAATGTATTTCTTAATGTGAATTCGATTATCATACATACATTTGATTTATACGTTGTTTCTGCCATTAAACTAGTAAACATGTAGATTGAAATTGTATTATATTCAACGCGCGAGACTACTATACATATTTCTGTAATATGTATATGAATGTTATTTTTCTTGTTTTATAAAACGTTATGATTATATTTAAATGTGTAGTCTTTGGAAATCATGAAATAAATTTGCAACTGGTTTGACTATAATGTGTTTTACCTGTTTCGCCCACATCATCATGCCTTTGATAAAAAACTTTCGTCAAAGTTTTCAGGGCTTCGTTGAAAGGGAATAATTTCATATTTGATGTGCAGCTTGATAATGTTGAGTTGTGGCGACTTTCTGTTTGCCAATAGTTCAAAATATTACAACTCTGATTGTACAAAGACAATGTTCGTAAAAGTTTACTTGGCTGATTTCTGGCCGTAACAGCAATTGGGGGCTCATCCGGGAAAACGTCAATATCAGATTAAAATTTTCTGTATTTATAGAATTAGAATTAGCCAACACAATTCTACAAAATGGCATTTGATGCCGGTACATTTTTGAAATCGCCAGATATGTAAGGGTTTGATAATTTAAAGAAAGAGGAATAAGTGGTGCTTGCTAAACATCTAAAAATTGATTTTAGAGTATCCATGAGAAAACAGATTATAAAAAAATTGGTAATAGACAAATAAGTTTACGCAGAAATTATAGATGAAAAGGCTCTTGAACTTGAGGTAGAACATGTTGATGCTTTCAAATTAAAACAGCTTGCATTGGAACATGGATTTAAATTAAAACAATTGGAATAAAAATGGAAAACGAAGTTAAAATAAACAATTTGAAAAAGAAAAAGATAATTTAAATTAAAACAGGCGGAACTTAAAATGAGGGAAAGGTAAGAGATGGAGAAAATAAAAATTGAAATGGTCAAAGTAGAAAGCAACACTAATGTAGAGTCAAAATCAGAATATTTTGATGCAGCAAAAAATATACGTTTGGTTCCCAGATGTTGTATAAAAAACAATTGATAAATATTTTCCACAGTTTGCGAAAATTGCTCAATTTTTTGAAATGGCCAAAGCCTTATTGGACTACAATGCTGCAAAAATGTTTTTGAGGGACTTTGATGAGAAAAATTCTGATTATGAAACTGTAAAACAGGAAGTTTTGAAAGCTTATAAGCTAGTGCCAGAAGCATATAGACAGAAATTTAGGTCTTATAAAAAGTTTGATTCACAAACCTATGTTGAATTTGCTAGGGGAAAAGAAGTTCTATTAGATAAATGGCTTACGTCGAAGAAAATAGATAACAATTTTGATAATATAAGACAATTGATGTTATTAGAAGAGTCCAAGCAGTGTGTTCATTAAGATTTAAAAACACATTTAGATGACAAAACTGTTGAGACATTACAAGATGCAGCTGTTATTTCCGATAATTATACCCTTTCATATACAAGAAGTTTCAAAGGTCAAAATTTTTATACTTCGAGCGGAAATTACAAAAATCATAGTACTGAGCGTACTGATAATAAGCATGTTGCACAGAATAAGAGTCAATCCAGTAATAATATGTCTAGTCTAAAATTTTATACTGTTGAGAAGAAGTCACTAACTTGTCATTATTGTAAGAAAAATGGTCACCTGATGGCTGATTGTTTTAGACTCTAGAAGAAGAATGAAAGAGATAATAAACCCAAACCCAGTGCGTGTACGACACCCCTTCTTACCTATAAGTTGGTATGTCCTGCGAGTCAGGCTTTTAAGTCCAGTGTTTGTGATTACATGGAAGATTATAAACCCTTTATGTCTGATGGGTTTGTTTCTATTGTTGATAATACTACTCCTCAGCCCATTAAGATTTTATGGGACACTGCAGCTTCTCAGACTTTGTTATTAGAAGGTGCGCTGCCTTTGTCCGAGGAGACTTCTGTGGCTACCTCCGTTTTGTTACAGGGTGTGGAGTTAGGTTTTATAGATGTTCCCTTCCATCGTATTTATCTGAAGTCAGATTTAATTACTGGACCTGTGGGTGTTCGTCCTAATCTCCCATATTGCTAGGAAAGATCTAGCTAGAAACAAAGTGGTTGCTGAACCAATTGTTACCAGTGAACCGGTTGTGGGTGTTAAATCACCTGAGGATGATGCTGAACTGTATCCAGCTTGTGTTGTTACTAGGGCGCTGGAAAGAAAACAACAAAATGAGAATTTGCAAGAAGACCAGTATGATTATATGGAAATTTCTGACACTTTCCATTGACGGTTCCTGTGGCTCAGAAAAGGCTATGATAAGACCACTCAGTACTAAAAAAACATGAAATTATGCAATGGCCAGAAGTGAACAGCCATTCAGACAGAAGAAAATTTGTAGAAGAACAAAATAAAGACACGGAGGTTCTTCAGCTTCGCAAGAGGGCTCAACCACAGGAGGAAGCAGACGAAGTGGCCGAATGCTTCTACCATCAAGACGGCATTTTAATGAGGAAATGCAGGCCCCTGATGCTATCCCAGAGGAGGAATGGAGAGTGGTATACCAAGTGGAGATGCCTAAAGTTTATAGGCAAGACATTATTGGTCTTGCTCATGACACCCCTTTGGCTGGACATTTAGGTATAAGGAAGACTTGCCTTAAGATGTTGCAGCATTTTTACTGACCCAGACTTAAGGATGATGTCACACAATGCTGCAAATCATGTCATATATGCCAGGTTGTTGGCAAGCTTAACCAGAAAATACCACCAGCACCACTTCTGACAATTTCTGCCTTTGAAGAACCTTTCAGTCGAGTATTGATTAATGGCGTTGGACTTTTACCTAAGACCAAGACTGAAAATGCGTATTTATTGACGATCATGTGTACATCCACTCGCTTTCCTGAGGCCATTCCGTTAAGGAATATCAAGATACCAACTATTGTTAAAGCTCTAATAATATGTTTCATGTTAGTAGGACTTCCTAAGTCTATACAGTCCGACCTGGGTTCATATTTCATGTCGGGTTTATTTCAGCAGGTCGTTTACCAGTTAGGGATTGCTCATTATAGGTCAAGTGCTTATCATCCAGAATCTCAATCTGCCTTAGAACGTTTCCAATAAACATTCAAGAACATGATTAGAACTTTGTGTCTTCAATTTGACATATACTGGGATGATGGTGTTCACTTTCTATTTTTTGCGGTCTGAGAGGCTGTTCAAGATTCCTATGGTTTTAGTCCCTTTGAGTTGGTATGTTGTCATACTGTAAGGGGACCTTTAAAATTGGTTAAGGAAAAATGGCTAACTGAACACCCTGACTTGAATCTTCTAGACTATGTATCCAGATGTAAAGAAAATTGTATACTGCTTGTCAAATTGCTCGGAAAAACTTAAAAACCGTTCAAAATAAGATAAAAATATGATATGATAAAGATGCCAGGGACAGAGGTTTTGAGAATTGTGATAAGGTACTTGTATGTTTGCCAGTCCCTATATATCCTTTACAGGCTAAATACTGTGGGCCTTATACAATAGAAAGTAAAATCAATGATTTAAATTATATTGTAAGAACTCCAGGTCGGCGTAAACAAAACAGAGTGTGTCATATTAATATTTTAAAACCATATTTTGAGCGTACTAATGAAGGTGAGAGTAAACCAGTTAAGGGGGAGGAGTTATGATATTGTTATTATCATGTTTATCTATCTTAGCCTAATTTGTTTTTTGTGGCCTTATCATATGTATGATATTTTTACATCATATTTATAGTTGTTTACAAAAAAAAATGGTATAATTGTACAGTTAAGAAATTACTGTAACAACCATAGATACTAATGGATTGATTATTCTATTTGACTTACATAATAATTCTGGAATGATTATGATATACGATGTGTAATTTAAACGTCTAACGTATTCTAGAAGTTTCCGTTCTAATGTTTTCTAGGAGTTTCCCTCCTACAGTGTTCTAGAAGTTTCCTTGACAACTATATATACAGATACCGAAATTAGAATTGTTTAGACATTAATTTACTTGGATTCACAGAAGTTCTCTGGAGTTGTTGGATTGGCACTTTATTTACGTTATTTACATCATACTAGATTGGGCATATTCCGTACAGTTAAGAGAAGAATTCCGGTTAAAGAAAAGACAAAGGATCGGACTTATAATTTAACAGTCATGTTAACATTTCAATTTGTATAATATTTCTTGTAAATTTGTGTATAATTAATCTTGTTAAATTTAATTTTTGATTTGTGTCTTTTATTGGCTACAAGTTAAAGGTGATTTCTTGCCGTAACATTGTCATCCCAAATAATTGTATGCAGCGACGCAGTTCCAGACACGGTATTGGCCTTGTATTAAACACGGAAGAGACACTTATTGACTAATCAAACACATGCATCAGTTGTTCGGATATCTGATAAAAAGTAAACGCTCAATGTTACCCATAATTTCTTAGAAGTAACACACCATCTGCTCCATCGTATGGTGTTTAATATCTTAGTAAACACTTGAAGCTCTTCCATGTTCACACTGTAAACACTTCATTAACACAGGTTTGCTCTTTACTGAAAACTTGCTCGAATAGAGTTATATTCTACATTCATTTTAAGAATGTATTGACCAATATGGTATGTATGTGTATCAACTCACTAGCGACATGGTTTCACGGTCTTAGTTCTTCTGATGAAATTATAATCGTCTAATTATGTCAGATTGTTTCATTTTGACTTAGTGACACACCATCCATTTCTTATATGTACGAATTTTCAAAATTAAAATAAATATATTATTAATATTTTTAATCTAAAATTAAAATTTAAACACACAAACATTAATGTGATAGTTAGAGGAAATGCCATGTAACCTTGATTACGGTCGTTCTTATTTGTAACCCAACTGGAACAAATTTGTTTTTCTGCTAGCAACAGCTTAACAATGTTTTTTAATATATTACCAAGACTCCAGTAGACATTAGTAGATAAGTTTCAGTGGCTTTCTAACTCTTTCTAGCTTTAACACTAACAGGGAACATAAAGGGTAGATATTACATACATGAGTCGGAGAAATGTGATTTGCTGTCGTATACATATAAATGAATCTTGTTGCTCAGGATGTAAAAAAAGTCGATAATACGTTGTATTTTGTGTCTGAGGAAAAGAACTAGAGATTGTGGTACAATAATTGGAACATACGCGTGGTCATATGTGACAAAGCTATTCCATAACCGT